AAAAAACGAGATCGATTTTCTAGGCTCAATAATTTTTCCTGGTGAAAGCCAAAACATGTCCATAGCTAAAAAATTTGAAAATTTTAAACTTATCACCCAAAGGCTAAATATCATCAATAAACATGATGCAATGGTCCTTCTATTACAAGCTGCTTTTTTGCCTCGTCTTGTTTATTTTTTGAGAACATCCCCTCTGTTGGATGTTTCGATCCTCAATAGTTTCGACGATCACCTCCGTGACGCATTCCAGTCCATCTTCAACATAAAACTCGATCAAAAAAATTGGTTACAGGGGACGCTGCCTATATGTGTTGGTGGCCTGGGTTTGGGTTCCGCGGCTGAGCTGGCACCTTCTGCCTTTTTGGCTTCTGCTGCTGCCACGGTGGCCCTCCAGGATCTGATGTTGCCTAGGGATGTGATTTACGTCGATAACTTCAGATTGCAAGTATACGACATGTGGCGCGCCACCAACGGAGATGTGGTTGCGCTCGAAAACCCCTTGCAAAAACACTGGATCGCCCCCTGTCTTAATAGATCAGTTGATCGATGGCTGCAATTGAATGGCTCTGCTTTTGACAAGGCTAGAATTATGGCTGTCAAAAGTGAGTTGGGCTCCGCCTGGTTGAGAGCGCTACCCAACACTTCCTGCGGCACTAGATTGGATGACTCCTGTGTTCGCGTGAGCCTTGGTTTGAGACTTGGAGCCCAGATCGTCACCGAATACGAATGCGCATGTGGGGCAAGGGTTGATGAACTTGGATACCATAGCCTTTCTTGTCGTCTAGGTCCAGGAAGACAAGCCAGACATACGGCTGTCAACGAATACCTGGTACGATGTTTTCAAAAGGCTGGTATCCCGGTTATAAAAGAACCCATGGGTTTGATAGAGGAAGGAGCCTTTAGGCCTGATGGTTACACTATCACCCCATGGGCCCAGGGACGGTCCCTTGCTTGGGACGTTACCATACCCCACACTATGGCTGACCGATACATCGGCTACACTTCAGTTGAGGCGGGCACTGCTGCCCTTAAAGCGTCCGATTTCAAAAATGAAAAATACGTTTCATTAAACAATTTAAGCAAAATATTTCAACCCATTTGCATTGAAACGTTCGGACCAACAGATAAGCACACGTCATTATTTATTAACGAATTAACAAGAAAAATAGTTAATATAACGGGTGATCCTAACGAAGGCAATTATTTAAAACAAACTCTTTCACTTTTATTACAAAAATTTAATTCCTTCTGCATTCTGGATGGAGCTGCTAGATACCTGACTGTGCGAGACCAGGGACATAGATAAAAGTTGAACTCGGAAACGATTGCATGCCTAACCATGGCTTGTTCATCAAAACGGGTTCATACATACATACATACATACATACATACATACATACATACATACATACATACATACATACATACATACATACACACATACACACATACACACATACACACATACACACATACAGACATACATACATACATACATACATACATGCATACATACATACATACATACACGCATGTATGAAATATTATACTGAATTATTTTAAAATTGCGTTTATAGTTATTGAGCGGGGAACCATACAAAATTATGATGATGATTCTGCGGCTGATATTGTAGTTGTTGATGTTTTTGATGTTTTTGCGGATGTTCTAAATGTCTTTGGTGATGTTTTTGATGTCTTTGGTGATGTTTTTTGATATCTTTGGTGATATTTTTGATGTCTTTGGTGATGTTTTTGATGTCTTTGGCGATGCTGTTGGTGTTGATGGGGTCATAACAATAGCAAAAATAGCAAAACAACATCAACAACAACAACAACATCAACAACAACATTAACAACATCAAAAACAACAACAACAACATCAACAACAACAATAACATCAACAACAACAATTCAATATGGCGACACACCAACACGAATTTCACCATGTGTGCCAAGCGGGGCTCAACATTAAGAAAATATTTATAATTAAAAATTTGGAGATGGAGCTGCTGATGATGATGATGGTGAGGATGATAGCGAAGATGAAAATGATGACGACGACGATGATGATTGAAAAAATATTATTGATAGAGTTGATTATTGATTATTGATTATTATTTTTAATCTTCGAAAGGTTCATCAATCGTTCGTTCGTTCGATCGATCGTTTGTTTGCATGTTCGTTTTTCAATCATTCTTTCGTTCATTTGTTTGTTCATTAATAAGTTAATTTATTTATTTATTTATTAACTAATGTATTTATTTATTCATTCATTCACTCACTCATTCATTTTTCATACTATTTTTCCCATTCCTTCGTTTCATCATCAGTATCGTTAAAATTAACAACAACAACCACTGCTACTACTATTACAACAACTACAACAACAACAACTACTACTACTACTGCAACAACCACAACAACAACAACAATAACAATAACAACAATAACAACAACAACATCAACAAAAACATCAACAACATCAACAACATCAACTTACCAGGATTAAACAAATGCTTTATTCAGCCATTAAGTGTACGAGCGGAGTTAATGCGTTTGTGTATATACATATAAATATTATATATATATATATATACGTGTGTATGTATATATATGTGTGTGTGTGCATGTGTGTGTGCGTATGTTTGTGTATGTGTATATGTATGTACGTTCAAAAATGTGTTAGTTGGTTTGCTTGCAAGTGGGTGTTTATATTATTCAGAACCATTTTATCGGCATTATATTCGGTCGTAGCTCTTTTGTTTTTATTCATGCCATCATCATCATCACCATCGTCGTCGTCGTCATCATCATCATCGTCATCATCATCGTCATCAGAAGTAACACTGATATCATCAACTACGACAACATTATTATCGTCATAATCACCATCATCACCATCATCATCATCTCAATCAAATATCAACCAATCAAATCCCCATCAGCGATGTCCAATCAGAAGCAATTTAAGAGATCACGTGTTCGGTTGAAGGCTTGTCATTGGCTCGTTATTCTGGCTGCCATTTTTAAGCTTATTTGATTCCCATATCAAATTTGCGAAAAAATTTCGTACAATTGTTTTTAAAATAATTTAGAAATTTTTTTAAAGTAATAGTAGTAGTAGTAGTGGTATTTAGTGGTAGCTATAGTAATATTAGTAGCAGTAATAGTAGTAGTAGTAGTAGTAGTAGTAGTATAGTAGTAGTAGTAGTAGTAGTAGTAGTAGTAGTAGTAGTAGTAATAGTAGCAACAGCAGCAGTAGACTTAACAATTTCCGAGTTTTGATATATCAAGGTCTGGTCGGATCGCTCATTTGTTAAAATCAACTCGCCTGACAAATAATACATCATCGTTATCGACATCGTCATCATGCCATCATCAGTACATCATCATCATATTACGTCATCATCATCATCATCACTATGACGTCACCGTCATGACCTAACCATAACCACCATCATTATCAACACTTTACCATAATTAAATTTTGTTATAGAGTTGCATATTATATATATGCAGTAGCAGTTGTAACAGCAATAGCAGAACTAGTAGTAGTGGTGGTAGTAGTAGTAGTAGTCTCAGCAGTAATAGTAGTAGTAGCAGTAGGTATACACACACACACACACACACACACACACACACACATACATACATACATTCGAAGATTGGTCACCGACCTCCCCGATCAATGGGCGTTTCTGAAACTGAACTTTAAAAATGCCTTCAACGCCTTGAGAAGAGACTCGATGTCGGAGGCTGTCAAACTTTTTTGCTCCAATATCTATAATTTTTGCCATTCTGCCTATGGCGGAGTCTCTTCCCTTGGCTACAACTCTTGGGTTGTAAAATCGTCCGAGGTGGTACAGCAGGGTGATCCCCTTGGTCCTTTGCTGTTCGCACTAACTTTTCATCCACTCTTAAAGAAAGCTTCGTCTTCTTTCGTTTGCGCTTATCTGGATGATATCAGAATTGCTTCGGACGGCCTCAACTCTGGCCGATAGCTACGAATATTTGAAGCATAACTCCGCTGCAATTGGTTTAGAGTTAAACATTAAAAAATGCGAACTTCACTGCCAAAGCTTATTTCAGGTGCCACATGCGCTGGCTAAAATACCCAGAGTTGGTGCATCAGAACTGAGTTTTTTAGGCACACCCTTGGTCGAGGGCGATTATCAAATAAAGTTTTTTGACCAAAAGCTCTCTGAGCTTAAATTCGCCCTGGGTCGTGTTTCCTGTCTTTCGGCCCATGATGCCTTGAGTATTATCCGCAATGCCCTCAGTTTGCCCAAATTGATGTACTTCCTGCGTATATCCAAACACATTGACCCTTCTAAATTGGGCGAATTTGACGGAGTCCTGCGCACCGCCCTGCCGTCGATTTGCAATGTTCAAGTGACCGACAGTGGTTGGTCCCAGGCTCAGCTGCCGGTGCAATTTGGTGGGCTGGGGTTGCTTAGCGTGGTTCAGCTGGCTCCCGTTGTTTATAATTCTTCTGCCGCTGCCACTCTCGACCTGCAGTCTTCCCTGCTCCACCGGTTTTTTCGTTGCCGCGATATTCTTCCCTCAGTGTCCGCCCCGGGGGACATTAAGAACGTCCAAATTTTGAACGAAGAATATAAAAAAATCTTTCAAAATTTGTTGTCTTCATGCGGCGACGACTTTTCCACCGTTCGTTTGTTGGCCATGTCCAGCGTTGCCAGCTGTGGGTGGTTGAGATCGTGGCCTAAATCCTCTGTGGGTACCAAGCTTGACGACGAGTCTGTGAGATTTGCTGTTGGCTTCAGACTTGGCCTGGTCATTCAGAATAAATACACGTGCCGATGTGGCGCTGGGGCGGACGAGTTTGGGCACCACGGTTTGGTTTGTCGCCTGGGTGGGGGCCGTCAACTACGTCACTCAGCGCTAAACTATTACATTTGTCGGCTCTTCTCCAAGGCTTCAATCCCGGTTCTCAAGGAACCATCCGGCATTTCTGCGCATGATGGTACGCGCCCGGACGGATGCACGCTAATACCTTGGAGAGCCGGCAGATGTTTGGCGTGGGATGTTACGGTCCCTGGCACCCTCGCCGAACGATAGTAAACCTGACAAGTAAAGAATGCGGTTTGGCCGCAGCCAGGGCAGCAGACGAGAAAATGAAAAAATATGGGAATGTCCTCCCCTCGATGAAATTCTTGCCGATATGCATCGAGGTGCTTGGCCCGATGGACCCCAACACACTTAAATTTCTTAAGGAAATATGCAAAATGATCAGCGTCAGATCAGGTGACAGCAGGGAACTGTTTTTCGCAACTAACCACATTTCGTGCTTGTTGCAGCGGTTCCTGCGTGTCTGTGTGCTTGAAAATATCCAACTGAATGCCGACACGTGCAATTATCGACAAATCAAAGTGTTAATCCATTTGTTACTTGATGTTTGACGGTTCAGTGTCACTCATCATGTTTTGGTTTTAACATACATACATACATACATACATACATACATACATACATACATACATACATACATACATACATACATACATACATACATACATACATACATACATACATACATACATACATACATACATACATACATACATACATACATACATACATACATACATACATACATACATACATACATACATACATACATACATACATACATACATACATACATACATACATACATACATACATACATACATACATACATACATACATACATACATACATACATACATACATTTCCGGTACGATGTCGCGAGCGGTTTGCATTAACGAGTTATTGTGTTATTTATTTAATAATTCTGACAAAATTGACGATGCGGAATTCATTTACGAAATAATGGATTTCTACAATTGTGAAGATATTAGAATAGCAAAAAAAATACTTACCAGCGATCTAGATGCGTTAAATCTAGAAAAAGATGATAAAATAAAGCCAAACAGTTCTGGAAACTCTAAAAAGGACAAGGTTAGTGATTTAATACTAACAATAAAAACAATTCTGAGCAACAAAATTGAAAGCAAATTGCCTCAGTATGCTGCTCTCAACCTTTTTAAAATTCCAAGCTCAAAAAAAGCTAAATTTGAGTTAATTCTTGACGAAAAGTTAAAAAAATTAGAAGAACTATTTATTGAAGAAAGAAACATCTTCCGAGAAATAGTAAATGATGCGGATATTAACAATAGCCCAAAAGTAGAAAGAAAGCAGCAATCCGATTGCAAGACCGAATCGAGCAAGCAATCTGACTGGTCAGAGATTGTAAAACGTAAAATTAAAAAGAGCTCAAATGTTCAACACGTGGCGAATGTTCAACACGTGGCGAATGTTCAACACGTGGCGAATGTTCAACACGTGGCGAACATCAACATGTTGAAAACAAAGAAAAAAACACACAACACTAACATAGCAAATATGAAAACAGTTATAGGCACCCAAACTGATAAACAAACAAATTTGAAAGCGATGAAACCTTCGCCAAAAAGAAAAGTTTTTTACGTTGGTCGATTGGACCAACAATGCACTGCAAAAGAGTTAAGCGAACACATAAATGGATTGAAAATTGAGGTGCTTGGTTGCTCAGCAATCATAAACTCAACTTTTAATCGCCGCTCAAAGCAAGCTACAACATCGATCAACACACAAAACACGAACTCTGACAAAATCGATGTTCAACAGACAAGCGCTGCATTCAGAGTTTGTATTTATGAAACAGACTCAGCTGAGTTCATGAATGCAGAAAACTGGCCAGACCAAATCATCGTCCGCGAATGGTGTTTCAATGATCCGTCGGCAAATGTTGTCAATGACCTGTCGGCAAATGTTGTTTCAACTAAAAATAGCAATGAATAAAAACTTCATAGAAGAGAATCTCGAAGAATCAAAATATTACACTGTAAAAGAATTATCTAACATAATAAAATTGAAGAATAAAATGAAAAACAATCACCTACCAATCATTCATCTGAATGCTCGAAGTTTGTTTCATAAATTATTAAATCTAGAAATCTTCTTAAAACAATTCGACGACTTTTTCAAAATTATAGTAATATCAGAAACGTGGTTGAACAATGAAACAGTTGATTTAATTAAGTTAAATAATTACAATTTTGTATATAAAAATAGAAAAAGCAAACAAGGCGGAGGTGTTGGTGTTGGTGTGTTCATAAAGCATGACATCAAATATGTTGTAAATGATAACAGTGCATTTGATGATGAAAATGTCGACGTTCTCTGTGTGGACATTGAATCGGGGCATGCTTCACCTAGGGGTGTGCTAAAAGTTATCGCGATATACCGCCCACCCAATTATAAATTTGAGCCTTTTTTAAATAAAATCACTTTGATTTTACACGCCATCAAATCCGCCGACAAAACTGTTATAGTGGGCGACTTTAATGTTAATTTATTGGACAATGATTCAAATGATTCTAAAGACTTTCAAAATCTACTATTTTCATTTTGTTTCTCGCCTTTAATTAATTTACCAACAAGAGTAATTGTCAATTCATTAATCGACAACATATTTACGAACCTGTATCAACATTGCGAAAGTGGAGTCATAGTCTCAGACTTTTCTGACCATTTTCCAGTTTATGCAATAGTAGAAAATTTTAAAACTGCTATCAATGATGACCAAATTTTATGTAGAAAAATTAATAAAACATCCATTTTCTTTATAAAAAAAGCCCTCTCACTTCAAAATTGGCATTCAGTTAAAAACGAGAATAATATAGATACAGCATGCCTGAATTTCTACAATATACTCAATAAAACTCTTGACACATACGCAGAAACAAAAATATAAAAAAGCATGGGTATCTGATGAAATAATAAAATTATCAAAAAAACAGAATCGACTGTATAAAATAGCAGTCGCTGCACCAAACTCCGCTAATGTTGAAAAATATAAAAAGTTTAGAAATTACTTTACATCAGTAAAGAGAAAGGCAGAAAAAAATTATTTTCAACAAAAATTTGAAGAGGCAAAGAGTTGCTCCAAACAAAAATGGGAAATAATAAACGGTATAATGAATAGAAAACAAAACAATCTGAAATAA